TGGATGAAGGCATCGAGATCATCATAGCTGGTGTTTAAAGATACTGATTTATATCACTGGGTGCCGTAAACAGTAATACTGGCACATCAAATGAATTTCCTTGAATTTTTAGTTTTCACGAATCTATTCCTACCGTGATGTCGGTTAGAACATTCCTATATTCCGTGTACTTCATAAGGGCGGTCATGTGACAGCAACGAAGACCATCATACTAAAGTCCACGGATAATGGTTGTAAAAATGGAAACTAAACCCTTTAAGTGCATATATACTATTTCCTGACTTGAAGTATCTAACTCAGCCATTGCTGCATGGTTGCTTCCCTATTAGTTTTTCATGTTTCTACCCACATCTCCGAGGTCACATCATTCCACGTACTCATCACAGCCGTTTTTGTGCCGAGATCGCCAGCCACCCTTATCCGTTTTTGTTATTGGGTCTCGGAAAACTGACTTCAACTTACCGCTCTAAATAAGCTAAATTGTGGAACATCCTTGCCCGTTTTTTTAAACTAAAACTTCCACCTCGTCGGGCTACAAGAATGACGAAACTACATCTTTTCTTTCAATTTCTCCTTTACAATATCTTCGAATCGTGTCGACCGTCTCGACTGCAAACTGCTTCGGTTCAATAACACTAGGAAAGCTGTTCATGATGATAGCGAGTAGAACTGCCACGCTTATTTTTCCTTTTCTTCCGAAAAGCAACTTCCATACATCCGAAAATAATCATTATCTTTTATTATGTAGATGAAGATATCCAATTAACATACACCAACCAGCATATACTATTGTTGTTATTCAACTGCATCTTTGATCACGTGTTATTTTTTTTTAACCTTCCTCGTCAGCCACGAACTCGATCGTGGACGTTGTGATCAGTTGTCGGCAGACCGGTCAACATGTGGTGATCCCTATCCATATCATCCTGCCTGCTTATGATGACGAATCCGTGGCTGGAGTTGTCGGCACTCAGTCGTGGTGGCCGTTATTCGGACTCACGTGGATTCACCTCTTTGCGCTGATTATACTTACATTGTTGGTTGCTATATTTGGTGAGTAATGATAGCGCTTAAGGCTTTGCTTTCCTTTCAGAGCTACTGTTATTCAAATGTCATAGTAATTCCATTCGATCCTATTTTTACGCAAATGTCAATGATGAACCACTTAGATTTACTGCAAATAAGTTCGGTGGATTGCATAGTAGCGGTAATAGCTGCATTTAACGTGACTCGGTGTTNAAATTGGAGAGCAGCAACGGTGTCATTTGTTGAGTCTGAAACATATGAACCGCACATCTGCACTAGATGAGAATTCTACTCTTATCTATACCGAAACTTGTTCTCCGACGGCGAAGGTCAAGTCCTCTAATTTAGTCACTGCAAGCGGGTTCACATAGTTGCGGTCATAAGTATATTGCTTACAGTCCCTACAGCCAATGACCTTTTTATTCGTTCGTATTTACCTTTTAGGTCATGTTATGACTAAGTCAGCCACTTTGGTCAGCAATTCCTCGGGATCTGGCTCTTCCGTGACCAAGAATCTCCCTACTGCTGTACCACCGTCTCTGGTGAGTCCACTTCATTCTAGCCCACGGAAGCTGTGGAGTCAAGGCTATACCATTTCACCGACACGAGCGGTATCACTGACCTCCCAAAGTCCACAAGAACAGCCACAACAAATGTTCAATACTGGTGTCAGTGGTGGGTCACACTTGTTCGGACCGAATGTTCACCAGCGCTATCGGTCTGGAGGAAGTCCGATCGTGTCAGATAGCGGAGATCTTTTACTGGAAGAACAACGTTGGCGAAACGCGCTAACAGGCAATTCACCTCGTTTGCGAGACACATTCGATAGCATTTAAGTTTTTACCAGAAACCCTACCCATGTAACCCAGAAAACGGTATCGCCAATTCTATGAGCCGTAACATTTTGTATTGCTGCGCATCTCACCGCCAGAGCAAACCTGAATTTGCAGATCCTTCGAATTTTTCTATCTTATTGAATTCGTCTCCTTCCCCTGCTTTGTGTAATTGTATAACGGCAGCGTTATGCTTATCAGTGTGTACATATCTGGTCTAAACGTTTCCGTCTTTATGTTTCGATTTTGTCAATTAGCAATAACAATCTCGAAGTTTTCCAACAGGCTTCATAATGTTGCGTCTTTTGAAGGAACTTCTAGGTCATCAGCTTCTGATTACATAAGGAGTATGATAATAAGCACCATTCATCAGAATTTAACATTTACTGTTCGAAAAAGCTACGCCAAATTAAACTCTTAGAGCGTTATGTGAAATACCCAGACTGACCATATGAAGCGAAAAAGCAACCTACAGTTTCCGTGCTACGTTGAGTATAATGCGTCGGAAAACAATTACAATTCAAAGTCAGCCAAAACCAATGCGTCTACGTCTTTCCCGAAAACGCGATATCCAGCGAATAAGCAGTTCCCGCGACAGTCACGACTAACGAGGATTGCCGAGCATCGCCGGACGCTGTGGGTTCTCAAGGAGCTGAGTGTTGAGACTGATGTTGCGGTTTACCGGGTTTCTACTCTGCCAGTATTTTCCGATCTGCGATTGTGTGCGTTGGTCACTCCGTGTGTCTGTGTGGATATGAGGCTGATTTGTTTGTCCACCAGTTGTGGATTGCCACGTGTTGGGTTGACCAATTGTTCGCTGTCTTTCTTCATGCCTGCATTGTACGAGATTGGCGCGTCTGTGATCGGGCGTGGAATTTGCTGCAACCAGATCGATTGTGATGTTGACGATAGTGTATAGATAGTTTTCATTGTGAACGTTTGCATTACAGTGTCTGTCCATTTGTATGAGCATTGTCACTGTCGATCGGCATGAGTATCACGATCAGCATGGGCGTCGCTTTGTTGATTGTGAACACCACTTGTGATGTGATGTGATGTGATGTGATGAAATCGGTTGATCCTGATTGTGATGAATTGGAATAATGCCACACACACACTACTCACAAGTAACTGTGAGTTCAATACGAATATGAATGAAGCCTTGTAAGTATGTGGCAAGTCTGTCCGTAACCTGCATGGAATTGCTGACTTGGTGGGAGACTTTCGGTTGGAGTTAACAGGTTGTGCCTGTGTCTTCCTTCGTTTTCGTCGTGCCAAATGAACTGACTGACTTTCACTGAAGACAACACCTGAACGAGCATGAATTGGCAATTTGGTTCAGCCATGGCATGAGCTGGTTGGCGCAGTGGCAACACACTTACACACACGCGTTCCATGCGACGGGTCCGGAGCTGAAATCCTGGACGGGACGGTGAATATGCACTACTGATAAGCTCTAATACGAGCGAAACTCGAGTCTAGTGCTTCCGAGTGTATGGTTGAATCGATGAACTGACGATTGTGCGTGAAGGTGAATTCCGAAGGGTAGTCAGTCAAACCAATCAATATCAATTATCCCCCGCCCCGCCTCGCCCCTCCCACGCACACACACTACTCACAAGCAACTGTGAGTTAAATACGAATTGGCAAATGCTAATCGATTGATTGTATTGTTCTTATTATTCCCGCATAGGATTTTGTTTTTCGTGTGTACCGAATGAATGTCAGTGCAATTTGACCATGTTTGTGGTTGTGGCAGCTGATAGTGGTGGGACTGGGATGTTCGTAATTGAGCGAATTGTGTTTGTTAATCCCTGCGATGCATGCCATCGACTGGATTGCCACCAGTTGGAGGTTCTCTAGCAGCAGGTATAGTGATTGGTGAATGTCTTCATATCCGTGTTCGTTTCTGTGGCTAGGGCGACACGGGCAGTGATTGTCCGTATCACGATCACTGTGTGGAGCATGCCTGATACTCGAGTAGATTGACCTGTCTGGTGCATAGATTTGTTTCTTATTTTCCCTTCGATTTTTGGGTTGTTTATTTGTATTTTGACAATTGTCAATTTTTCTCGTAGCATGATGATTTCGGCTTGTTAGTTGAAATTGGTTCTTTTTGTTCTGGTGATTGGCATCGGTTTTGTTTGGGCTAATTGTGTAGCGATTTATCTGTGTTATTTGTCTTGGTATTAGGTGACCGGGTGACCGGTTGTGATTGTGAATGTAGCTGTAGTTGAATGTAGCTTTGCTTGGCTCGGATTGGCTCAACTGTGTGTGAGTAGGTTTTTGGGCGATTGCTGATGCGTTTGTTAGCGTGATTTATGTGTTCGATCGTGTTTGCAGTGTGGATGGTTTTGTTGAATGGCTTTTGTGCATCGCTTGCTATTCGCACACGTGCGATTGAGTTTTGTGGTTATGTTTTGTTCGGGACTGATAGTGATTTTCCGTTCGTTTTCCTGGCATTGGTGCAAATTGCAACAACGTCCGATAGGCGTCTGTTGAATCGCTTTGCTTGCCGCATTCGCTTCGGTTGGGTGACGGAGAATAGATTGGGAGTCGTTTCGGCTGATGTTTGCAGTTTCAGTTTCAGTTTCAGTGTTTACAACCGTTGACCATGCACTTTGGTGTGCCGGTTTTGGTTGCTGTCTTCTGGTGCCCCATTTGGATAAAAGAGCATGATGCAGGAGGATGAAGATTGGAATGTTGAAGGCAAATTCAAGCGGAAGATGGAGAATTCATATGGAATGGCGTTAGGGGAATGAGGAGCGGGTGCACGAGCGCCACTGTTTGCGACACCCAGCCATATCACTCAGTGTCTCTAACCCTCGTTGACCATTATCCGGAGTTCCCCAGCCAGGGAGCCTAACGAGGCCTATGTGACCTAGTCTCCCGTTCAGGGTTTTCATATCCTCGTGCCAGGTCTTGGTTTGATTATCCTTGACCTTTTTCCAACCTCCACCTGCCTCGGCAAACATCGCTCGCGGTGGCAACCTATTTGGTGACATGCGTAGCACATGTCCCGACCGAAGTAATCTCTGGAGGTCGATCACTTGCTCCACTGTACTACCGTGACTGCCTAAAACTCTACGCCTAACTTCAGCATTGCTAGTCCGGTTCCCTCACCATACTCGTGGAATGCGACGTAGATAGCGGTGTTCGAACACCGACAATCTATTTTTATCCTGTTCCCGTAATGGCCAAGTCTCTACACCTTGGAGCAGCACTGTCCGAACTGTTGCAGAGTATACTCTACACTTCATCTGTGATGAGTCCGCCAGGCGAGATATAGCTGCCCAGATAGCAAAATTTGTCTACTTCCCCAGTCAGGGAAGTAGCAGTTGCGGTAAAGGTTGGATGAGATGTTTACCAGTTTTGAACAACCACTGCACGAAGGGAGAAATGGGCAGGCGAGTTAAGTGTTTGTGTGTTTCTACGGGATGGGATGTCATGACGGAAGTTCGCTTAGACTGACGGTACTGCTTTTTGTTGTGATCGCTATTCAGCTGCTGCTCGATTGATTGTCTAACGCCTGAAGCATCTCCCGAGCGTCTTGGGGGTGTGGAGTTTAGTCGGGACATGTCCATCCGTTTCTGTTGTTGTCGTTGCTGGCGACATTTTGGTGTCAGGTGATAGGCGTTGGTCCAATGTTGGTTCGGTTTTTGACCGCGTGAAGTGTTTTCGCAATGCTAATTGTGTTCGAGTTGTCATAGTGCAGACCACTTTGTTCTGCTCCCGTATTATTCGGTGTCTACAGGCAGTGTGTGTTTGTTTGTGTATGTGTGACGAAAGTAGGATGCGATTTTGTTCCGGCTTTGAGATATGTCTTTGGCCGATCAGTGCGATAGTGGGCATTGATCGGTGGGGGAAATACAAATCGGACTACTTGTTTCGGCGACGCATCCGGGCGATTTGTGACGAGGATTGTCGAGCATCGCCGGACGCTGTGGGTTCTCAAGGAGCTGAGTGTTGAGACTGATGTTGCGGTTTACCGGGTTTCTACTCTGCCAGTATTTTCCGATCTGCGATTGTGTGCGTTGGTCACTCCGTGTGTCTGTGTGGATATGAGGCTGATTTGTTTGTCCACCAGTTGTGGATTGCCACGTGTTGGGTTGACCAATTGTTCGCTGTCTTTCTTCATGCCTGCATTGTACGAGATTGGCGTGTCTGTGATCGGGCGTGGAATTTGCTGCAACCAGATCGATTGTGATGTTGACGATAGTGTATAGATAGTTTTCATTGTGAACGTTTGCATTACAGTGTCTGTCCATTTGTATGAGCATTGTCACTGTCGATCGGCATGAGTATCACGATCAGCATGGGCGTCGCTTTGTTGATTGTGAACACCACTTGTGATGTGATGTGATGAAATCGGTTGATCCTGATTGTGATGAATTGGAATAATGCCACACACACACTA